GTAAATTTATATGCTGCTTTTAGCAAATAGGGGAGGGCCGAGAGTCTTTCTTTCTCGTATTCAATTCTTTCCAATGGCTATGCTCAAAATAATCCTTAAGCCAACACAGGATGTTTTGGGGTGTCGTTCTGCTACCCTTTAGTTGTTAAGGAAATGCACACTAACATGTGTACTTATGCTCTAACAAGTAAATACTGATAATGATCTTAATAATGATAGTGATAATGATCTGCCAGGGGAAAGAGGGACCAGCTGAGAAGGGACAGCCAACCTGAGAACCATCAGTGTTTAGATTTGAACTTGCTCCTGAGGAATGAATTTGTATTGAAGAACAGCAGAAAAGGCCTTCCAAGCAGAGTGGGAATAGGCGTGCAGGAGTATGAAAGAGTCTTTGCCACTCTTCCTGCACTGTATTGGGGCAGTAGTTCAGTTCTTTGGCTAGAGCATAAAGTAGAAGGGGGGACAGGGTATTGGGAGGTAAAGCTGATTAGGGATTAGGCTCTTACAGACTTGCTATCTTAAAAATTGTGAATCTATTCTTTAGGCAGTAAAGGATTATAGAATTTTTTGAATATGGGGTCAACATGATTTGATTTGTGTTTGAGAATATTCCTAATGGTGATCAGGAGAAAGCATTTACATCTAGAGAGACCAGGGACACAACATAGGTGGAGACCAGCTCCCCGGCTTCCATTGTCCCTTTTGCCCTGTCTCTTATATTTTTGGATTCTTATTTGTTTATGTAGGGCATTTTTTTCCCTTCACAAGGTACATGGATATTTTTTCCTGCCTTACTGGTTTTCCATTGTACTTGTGTAATAAAAACGAGCATGGATGCTCTTAGTTTAATCATGCCTGCCATGGCTTCAGTACTAATGCTGACTTTCCATCCTGACACTGACTTTCCATCCTAATACTTTTGACATTTTGTATCTATTATTCTGTCATTCCAAATCAACAGGTCTAAATCAGATCCAATTGTACCAATTGGTCATGCTCTTGTAGAATTTTTTCTTATTCTGCAGGTGAAATTATCTTTTCTCTAACACTTGTCGTCTGTCACTCTTTCCCATTTCTCTCTTGGGGAAGTCTAAAGGTTCAGAATTCTGTAAGACTATGAATGGTAGGAGTTAATGGGTTTTCTCTGCATCTTGTAAAATTACTTAGAATTTCGTTCAGAGCCTTGGACAGGGACTTTGGTTCCCTGAGTTTTTGTTCAGGGTGAGGGAGTTCATTGTATTTATTCATCTTTGCCTCTACTCTGTGGGGGTTCAGGGATGTCTGGAGTAGATCATATTGCTAGTCAGTTTTCTTCTTTTCCACTGTACTTTATTATTATATGGTTATTGCTTTACAATGAAACAAGTCAGAAAAGCTGGCCGGTGTGAGGTGAATGGTATTGGACATAGGAATTCTAGTTAAGGGTGGCAGGTGTTGGAGCAGCATGGACATTATGCAACAGCTTTGCGATGCGTCCAGCTGGATCAGGGTTCAGCAAAGGTGGTAACAGCCAGGTAGAGAAGTGTAATCGGAGAGGTGAGGCTCGTGCTGGCGTTTGTTCATTTCTATCCTGTGAACCCAACAGTGAGCCAAGCTCCAGAGATACAAAGGTAAACCAGGACCCTGTGTGGAGTATGCAGTCTAGTGGGATCATATACTCCAAACTCGAACCTGGACATTGATCAGAATCCAGTTACAGAGAGACAAGCAATAGTTAGAGTCTTGAAAGTTCTTAGCACTCAGCTAGGGAGACACAGGCAGGGGTGTGGCGTGTGTCCACATACAGGCCACATCTGCAGAGACAGAGTCACTGGAGAGTGCAGGGGTCAGCAGCAGCGTGACAGGTGAGCTGGACTGTCACAGTGGCTCACTTTCTTTGTACATCTGTCCATGCCAGAGTCAGTTCATACCCACGACTAGGAACATGAGTCCTTAAGTCGGAAGCCCAAGTCGAGAGGCCAGGCCTACCCTATCAGAAACTCTGGGGTTGGGGACTAATGGCCTTTGTTTTATCCATCTCTGCTATGAGTTCTCATACTAAAGTTTGAGAAGTTCTCAAAATTCTAGTTTTTCCTCCAACCTTTCTTTTCTTCGGGGGGAGGACTGTGGTGTCATACTGTCGGACAGGAAGACTTCTTATCCCCTCCCTCTCTGTTCCACAGCGCAGCCTGTAGGTGATAAAAAGATGGCTACTGATAATCCCTGCGGGCCGAAAGGAAGATGAACTTGACTGTTAACTTAAAGCGGTTTTATCAGGATGTTTTAGACACCGAAGAGTATGTTAGGGTCTCCATCTCGTTCTTTATCTTTCAGAAAATAATTTCTCAAGTACTGCCATACAAAATGAATTAGAAAAAAATTCGTGTTTAGTCGCATTTAATTTAATTACTGATATTGTACCAGGCATCGCCTTAGCAGTTTTTCATTGCCTTACACATTAAGTAGTCTCTTGTGTTCTTGCCTGGGAAGGTAATTGCCATTTATAATATTCTTCCCACTAGAAAATACATTCTTAATTCCAAGCAGATGACTTGTAATTAACTTACGGAGCACAACTTGTAAGCTAAAGGAGTCCTCTATGCATACCCAATAGGATATGAAGATATTCAGCAGTCGTAACATTTTCCAGTTGCTTGTAGATGCAGAAAGGTTTTTCTTCGAGCGCCTTAAATTGCTCACGTCAGTTGTGCCTCTAACTCAACAGCTCCATACAAAGTGTTTCTGTAATTGTACTGAGCCTTTGCCTTTAGTTGATAGATAATTTGAATCAGGAAGATTCAGTGGCTTTCTGCAGAATAAACTATCAGAAGTGAGTGAAACCCAGACCTATCGTTTCTTTTGCTTTATCAACCAATTTAAGCTGATTTTCAATCCAAATAAAAAGCCATTATCAATATCTAAATACC